AAAAAAAAAAAGGGGGGGGGGGGGGGTGGAGGAGGGTGTCAAAATATTTAAGAATAGTTCACCATGGACCAAAACAACTACTATCTAATTTGGCCATTTGAAGGACTTGAGATCAGCCTGCCTTGTGCATTTGGAAGCAGGTTGTGTTTCTAAGTTCATGATGGTACTAGCTGCGTAAAGGCCCGCAAGAGATTTCTGAAAATACAAACATGCCTAGGAATGTTGTTATTCATCTTTCCTTGTGTGGTTGGCCTGTCATGATTGACTGATAAGTTTTCTACAATCCCACATTGTGCATGCACGCTCTAGTTGTTACTTAACCGAGCTTTGCTTTCTCGCACTTGTTTTCAGGTTTATGTACGATGACTGGTCAATGCCACACACAGCTTCCAAATTGAAGTTCCCGTATTACTGGGATGAGAAATGTTATCAGACAACAACGAGGAAAGACGAGCTTTAGCCAGAAAAGTAGGCTATGCAGTTACCTACATTTAGCTAGTGTTTGATATGTTTCTGTATTATACTGGGGTCTAGCGTATTTGGGGAACGAGTCAATGATTGACTAATACAAGAGCAATGTAACCGGTTTCGGGTGGAACTTATGAGATGCTTTTACAGGTCTTACAGTCATACATAGTACAAATGTGGTATCCAGTCACCACATTAGGAGAACTTTAGTTGTACTCCCTAAGCTACTAATACATGATTTCTTTAATTGAGAAACATTAGTACATGCGGTTTCTGTGTTGCTGTTATTGCATTTCTGACTCTGACGGGAGCTTATTCTTGTTGCGAGTGTAATGAAGATAGTGCTACGTACTCCATCATCCTCTGTATATCAGATTATCTGAATAAAAATATAAATAGGTCATCAAATAATGTTTTCTTTTGGTCTTTCAATTTGATTATTGCATTTGTGTAAATACAAACGTACTAATTTAACAGTTTCTTCCATTATCAGTACTCTCCTAGATTTCAAAGTAGCTATCGACAGAGTTAGTTCAATTAACAAATTTTGCTCAGATTAATAAACAGATAGCTCCAAGGTATGATACGGAACTTGAAAGAACTGAAACCGAATATCTCTCATCATTCACTAAAAATGTCCTTTTTGCATCCAGAAAAACAGTAGAGGAATTTCAAGGTAGTATGCAGGCCTGCAATTTCACTGGAGACGGAAAAGTGAATGAAAATAATAATATTAATTGGTACTTGAGAAGAGAAAGAGGATATAATTACATTAAAATCAACCTCTACTGTCCTTGAAGAGATTGATAGAAAAAGGAAAAACTCAATGGAAAATTCTGCAGATAATACACTCAACTGACTAAGCTCAAAATATCTAAAGCCTCTCATGGTTAGCATAAGTAAAAGGTATATCAACCAACACCTAACTAATGATGGAAAATCTTTGAAGGGAATAAAAAAACGCACAAGATATATCCATACTCAACAATTGAGCTCATCGTGGAGAGAAGAAGCAACGCACAAGGGATGTTGGATGCAGCACAATGGTGTTTTAGGGACTGTCTGTGATCATATTCGGTCTAAACTGCTGTACTTGCTTCTGAACTGCTCGCTGATTTAGGCGACCCACTAGGGGAAGGTAGCTCAAGAAACCGCCTTTTCTGGGCACGAGGTGGAATATGTTTTGCAGGTTTTCTTGATAATGGAAGAAAGACACCAGTACCACCAGTTGGAATCCTTCGAGGGTTTAGAACCATCGGACGCACAGGAGCTAGCATAACTTCTGGAGCTCGAAGGAAACCCCATTTAGGCATCACATCCATTATCTTATAACCATTAGCTGCTCCATTTGCAGTTGAATAGTGTGTTGGGACACCAGGTTGCCATAAGGTCATTGCTTTAGTCAGAGGAGGGATTTGTTGATCTGAGACGAAGTTATTCATCTCTGTTCTTACTTTGAAGAATGTAATAGCAACTCTTTTGCTAGCTGATGAGCACAGTGCATGTCTAGCCATATCGGCGCTGTTCCCTCTCATGATTAAAAGTGACCTGCCAAATATAGGACGAAATGAAGAATGTCACCATAAGAAGAATCGCCGTTTGATAAAGAGATTTTTAACAGACTGAAATAACACTAGCATGGCCTTTCTTTCATCAGGGAATGGAGGAATTGAATCTCCCATATTAATGAGAAAGACTCAGGAGGAAAATCGGAATTTGTGAATACACATTACCCTTGTTTAAGAGAAAGCATGAATGATCCTTTGTAGTTCCCATCACTGTCACTCACAAGAGCTCTACCAAATGCCATCATTGATTCAGAGAGGAGAAGGGTAGACACCGGCTGGTCCAAATGTGGTGGTTTCATGAAAGGCTGTGAATACTCCCCCTACATAAGCCAGCAAAAAAAAACCATATAGGCTCCACTTTTTACCAATCAAAATGTACAGAGGCCAATATGAATCTGGCATAAATAAATATGAACCTCATCAAAGTAGTTGATGACACAGCTGTTAGGTCTTCTACTTTCTGATATTAGATTCCACTGAATCAGGTGGTCTATGACACCTTGTAGAAGAGCTGGAATAGGTTCAATGTTACCTGAAGGTTGATTTCTCCCAATTAAGCTTTACAGAATGTGTTAAAGGTAATAATAATATAGAAGTATTCAGAAATTTTTATGAATCCAATTGTTGCAACAAACATAGATATGCATTAAGGCACAGCTTTCCCTTACTCTTTTGACACATGGCCTCCTCTTTTATATGTCCGAAAATTGGGGTCCCAAGCTGAATCATCTCTCTTTTGTTGCCCTTCACTTGCTGGTTGAATAAAATAAAAGTTTCACCTAAAAAGGAAGTCACAAGCAATTCAGGGTGGAAATCAAAGATAAAGAGGTGATTTTGAAGAACACTGATAAAGAATTAATGTAGTAAAGAGCTTCTTTCACTTAAGAAGTAAAGTTTCTTAAATGAGAGCAGTGCACAACTTGTCTAAAAAAACTACTACATAATAGAACATTGAGTCGAGCTTGCTTTTGGTGATTGTATAGTTCACAATATAAGGAGAAGAGAGGTAATCACCGTAAACCTCAAGCACCAAGAGTAAAACAACAGTTTCCTGATTACACGTGTACAAAATTTTCACTCAGAAGAGAGAATTCATGGAAAAGCCTATATAGTAAGCTAAGGCTGCTATAATGAGTTACAAAGCAAATCGATTCCCAAACCTGCTCGAGCAAAACTTCGCCTCAAAAAGGAAACAACACTAACTATAAAAGTGCCACGAATCACAGGATCCACCTGAGAGATCACCATTCTGGCCAGCAAAACGAAGTTCGTTCACTAAATCATTTAGTTTAGAGATTTCATTTGGAGTAAATATGTCTTCAAATAACTTCAGACCTCGCACTACGTTCACCTGACAAGACACAGATTATGGAAGCTTAAGACCTTCACAACATTGGATTTAAAATTGAATGTCATCCTTCACAGAAAACATGCAAATTGCAATTGAGGACTCACCATATGCCCTTTGACTGGCTCTTTCGACACAAACCCCTTTGTCATCTTGATGTGGGCATGCCTTGCCTCACAGTTCTCATGGTTTGAGCAGAATTCAACACTTTCTTCAAACGGTTGTATTAAGGGTCCTGTTAATTAGCCATCATTCCAAGAGGACAAATCACAAAAGAGTTCAACAAAAATGAGAATTTTAATCAATCAGTCAACTTTGTTTGGGTGACAATCAACTTATAGTACCCTTTTTCTTTAACCAATATTTATAATCAATCGTATTTTATTTCGTGAAGCACAGATTACAACGGAGTTAGATGTAAGTAAGTTTCTCATAACTAATAGGTAACTGGGAAAATTGTTGATTTTCTTAAACTGGACTGGTGTAAAAACAGAAATAAAAAATTCAACACCCGAGCAATTAAATATCACCCTCGGGGAATTTAGTAGCTTAGTTGATTGCCTGAAGTTTCACTTTGTTGGCTAGGGTTTGATTCCCCTTTCCCATTTTGAAAAACATCACCATCGGATGTGAAACAAAAAAATTCGTTACTGCAATTTCCATATTTTGTTCGAAGTAGTGTAAACTTGTAATGATGAATTAAATGTTAATTAAGCCAAAATTCTCCTGTACGGAATTTAAGCTCTTTTTTGGTGAATATTAACTAGTCCTAGTATATAATTTAATGCTACTTACCTGCACTTTCAGGAGAATCATCTCCATCCACTATTTCGTTTCCTCCATTTTCGGAGCTCGTGATTGCCTGTGTATCGCACTGTTTGGAGATTGCAAACTCCTCCCTCTCCTTGATCTTTCTCTCAGCGACTTTCCGTAGATCGAGTGTAACCTCGGCAATGGAACAGTACTTTTGCATCTGTAGAATTGGGATCCAATTAAGCCTCCGGCGGTGGATGGCTGCAAACACCGATTCATGCTCCGCTCTCCCGCCTTCAAGCTGAGTTATATGGTTGCAAAGCGCATCTATAATCGCATTTGCAGCAGCAAACTCTCCCCTGAACCACGCTAATATTGCGTCCTTAGCAAATGTCTCCGATACCATGGTCGGAGTGGAGGCCGCCGGCGTAACCTTAGAATCTAACGGTACTACATGGTGGTGTCCAACAACGGCGGCAGCTGGCGGCATATCGAAACAATGAATGAATGAACTTAGTCAAAATCCCAAGCTAATTAAAATCTCCGTAATAATCTCTTCTCTCTCAAAATATAATTTGCAAAAGCTTTTAGCTAGTCGTTGGATTATTTAGTTTGAATGTTTCGAATTGGTGCGGTGGAATCGGAGAAATTGTTACGTGTCGGCCGATATTCCCGGCGAGTATTTTCCGGTTTATCAAAAGAAGCAAAATGTACCAAAAAAACAGAATGATGATGAGAGTGGGCTTTGTTCGGGAGGTTTTTGAGTATTTAAAGGACGTAATGGTGACTTTTACAATCCGTACAGCATAGCATGCGCCAAGGTGTCACTATTTTTTTTATGTTTATTCATTAAAAAATAAAATTACAAACATATATTACTTAGTTATTTAACATAGACCATGAACGGAAAGAAAATAACTCAGATGAAATTTAATTTCAATAAACAAGCATAAGGTAAAAAAAAAAAAACATTACATTTACAAGCAATAAATCAAAATAATCCGAAGAAGAAGATGTCAAATATAATTTAATGGACCAACAAAATAGAGAAGAGATTGAGGTAAATTGTACAAATTGATTTGTCTATTATGTTGAAGTTCTTCTTCTTATTTCTATATAACATTACAGATTTTGAGATTTATAGCCAATATTTTTTCGAGATATACATTTTATCTATACAATAGATTCATGTGTCAATTAATTTATTTTGTTTATACAATTTGTTGAGATATTTGGTTTGTTTAAGTTATGGAAAAAACTATTTTGTACAAGTTTCGAAATTGTATATGGTTATTATGTTTGTATATTTGATAAATATCGGCAAAGTTCAAGCTATTATTTTGTATAATTTTAGGATCATTGAGGTATTTGTATATTTTTTGTGATTTTTGTTTCTATCAATACATTTCACATTATGTTGTATACAATTTTATGGATTTAGCATAGCAATGTTTATTGCGGTACCTTACTTTTTTAGACCTTATTTGTATATTTTCAGCAATATTAATTAATTATATACAATTATTTTTTTGTGTTTGTATATTATCAAAAAGTATAGTTCTGACTATTTATTTGTATATTTCCAGCATTTGTATACA